TGAGGTTTTTGTGGTTTTCAGGGTACATATCTGCCCCTCCTTGGTTAAGCTTATTCCTAAGTAGCTTGTTCTTTTTGATGCAATTTTATGTAGAGTTTTTATTTCATTTTAGATTTTATTTTTTATTATATAGAAATAGAATTGTATTTCATGTTCATAGTCTCTTGTATGATTTAAATGAACTCATCTTTAACTTTAATAGTGTTTTGTATAAATAGTAAAGCAGGCCTTCTGGTTCTATTACTGATGTTAGAAGGAAATTTTTCAGAGTGCAACCATTAGATGTGATAGTTATGGATGTTTTGTAAGTGCTATTTATTATGTTAATAATTTTCCCATGTATTTCTAGTTTGCTGTGTGTTTTTTTATCGTGAACAAATATATGATTTTATGAAATTAGTTTTCTGCCTCAACTGGATGAAGTTATAGGTCGATTCCCCTAGATTTTAATAAAGTGCCATTAACTGATGGCTTTTTTTCAGATATTTAACCACCCTTACATTCCTGAAAAAATTTCCACTTGAGTAAGGAATAAAATATTTACAGTATGAGGTTGGATTTGACTTGCTAGTATTTTGTTGAGAATTTTCACATCTATATGTGTTAGAAATTAAATTTGAGGTCCACAGACTCCACAAATATTGCACAAAGAACAGGCAGACAAAGCAAAAGTAACTTCTTTTACTTTTGCAAAAGAATGCATTGCATCATTTCGATCGTGCAAGCATACCCAACCTAGAAGTTTGATAGGTTTTTATCCCTAACACAGGAGTACTCTGTCTTTTGCCCACTGGCTGGGATTTGACCTCACATTCTCTAGAGGTTGACTAGTTTTCAAAGAATGGGCAGCAAAGGAGAAGGAGAAGGGGAAAGGGTTGGACAAAAGGAAAAGGGCTCAGTTGTTCCAGGCAACCACATTCCAGGATTTTGTATAAACAAAAGTTTTACAGGGTAGAGGGATTAAAAGATTTTAATTCCTTGTCCTAAACCAAAGTTTTACAGTGTTTGGCACAAAAGACTGATTATCGAAGAGTTCTTACATATTCATAAGAAATGTTGATCTGAGACTTTGTTTTTTCTTGTATTCATCTGGCTTTGATATCACTTTGATTCCATCTGCAAACTCAAGTCCTCCTTGCTATTCAATAGCATACATTTACATGATCAGCTATTTAAGCACCCACCCCCTTGACTGCATCGCCAGGATGGGTTATACCCTTGAACTGTGAACCAGGATAAGTCCTTTCTCCCTTGAGTTGCTTTTATCAGAGTGTTTAATCACAACAACCAGAAAAGAAACTAAGACGATGGCTGCTGACTAGAAAGTGAAAGAGGAAGATACCAGGTTCTCACAGTCCCCTTCAAGTGCAGAGGACAGATGGGCCTTTGGGGGACTATCAAGACTTAAACTATAGCAATTCTGTGGCAACAAATAGAAATACAAAATTGGAAGCATAATGAGAACTATCTCAAATCAGAGATGACTAACACCTTCATGAGTTAGATTATATGCCTATTAGTTTTGTTAGAAATTATAAGACACAGGAAATGCAAATAATTTTGGTCCATTCCAGTCAAGTAACTTGGATTGGAATGTGTTTATCTTACTTTAAGTACAGGGAGAAGAAGTTGACAAGGTCAAGTATTTTATTATCTAAGATTCAATTACATTACCTCTTTCAAGGGTCAAATTTAAATTCATTTCCCAAAGCTCAGATTTTACCCTACTTAGGAATAATAGTGATGAAAAAGAAAATTCTTAGTAAAGCCTTTTGGTTTGTGTATATAATATATAACTCAAAATGCAGATATATTTATATAAAAGAATGCTATGATTTCTGATAAAAAAAATACTTAAGAAAATGTCATAAACTTAGTAAAAAATTTCCCATAGGAAAAATGAATTTTCACATGCCAGGACTATTTTTAAGTTCCTATAATACTGTGATTAGAATGTATGATCATAATAACCACATTAGATGTAGTGGTTAGCTTTCTCATTGGTATGATAAAATGCCTGAGAAAAGCAACTTAAGGAAGAGCCTATTTAGGCTCACAGCTTTAGAAAAGACATAGTCCAGCATGGTGGAGAAGGCATAATGGCAGGAGCATGAGATAGCTGTTCACACTGCGCAAGGAAGCAGAAAACAGACACAACATAAGGACCAGGCTATAAAACCTCAAGGCCCATCAACCCCTGACCAGTGACCCAGGACACCTCTCCTAGAATACCTTCCCAGACAAAGAAGAAAGGTTAAGGAAACTTTCAATGAAACCAGAGTTCAGGGAAGGAAGAGTTCAGGCTTTACAAGAAAGGACAAGGCAAGCCAACTGGAAAAGAACCAAGAACCAGTCACATGAAGTCTTTGACCACTGAGGCTTTTATTGAAGTGGGCATGAAAATTGCATTCTTCCCAAGATAACTTGATCCGTGGATGTGAAAACTACATTTCAGCTCCTCAAGCCAACTAAGAAATATAAATAATTAACTGTATTCTTTTGCTTTTGGTTTAATTTTGCAGTCAGTTAAAAGCTATTCTGAGTGGCCCAAAACAGCATGGGTGCTTGAGATAGGAAATGGCCAACCAAATTTATTACCATGAGTTTATTTTCCAGCTATTGTTTGCTTTGGGCCAGGAATGAACAGATAACTGTATTGGTCATCATTTTTCCCTCTAGCTTTGTGGCCAGCTTAGGAGTTCCAAGGTGCTCTTCTGTTCATTACTTAACTAAGCAGTGAAAGTTATTTGAGGATTACTTGGTGAAACATTGGCATTTGAAAGTTTTAAGCTGTGTCTTTGAGAACCTGTCTTCTCTCCCACTTTCCTAATTCCTTGTCTGCTTATCTATCAGAAAAATAGATGGACACATTTGTGTCTCTTCACAATGTCAGACTTTATTGAATAAATAAATTCAGAAGTTGTTTTGTTGGCTTCAGTTTGCCAAGTGGTCCCAGTTTACGTTGATAGATAGCTGTTGATAAACATAGGTTCTTTTATTCCTATCTTAGTTACTAATATTAATTCTAGGATCATTTATTATCACTTCACACAATGCTATAGAAATATATAGATTACAGAATGGCTAAAATGGGCTAAGGAGGCTGCAGTGTTGAGAGATACCATGCTGAAGTTGTAGGCAGAGAGCTGATAGGCGGTCCAAAGAAGAGTCTGTAAGGGGCTGGGTAAGAAGTCTTATGAAGCACAGGCACAGACTTGTTCAGTTGTCAGATGCAGGTCTGGGTAACGGACCATTTCAAGTGTCAGTTTGAAGTGAGCCGAGTGTCAAGGGCCGGAGAAACTGTGCTGGAGCTGGAGCTCAGAGACAGAAGTCTTTTGCTGTGGCACTTTCCCTGGACAAGGCTCATGATAAGTGACCCAGGACTGCTCAGTGTGCCTATCAACTTTGGTCTCAGGGTGCCCCTTCTTTTGTAGTCCCATGTGAAATGGTTCTGTCTGGTGAGATTGATAAGTTCATGTATCTGGTGTTTCTGATATGATTTGATACATTTTCAGGTGTCATTTGCTGACATAAATTATTTATCAGTTTGTGCTTTCTTACATGTTGGCAGCTGATGGTTGTTACTTGTGTAAATAGGTTGTCAAGTCATTCTTTCTTGACGCTGACACTAAAAATGGAGTAACTCAGGCCAAGGCTGCTGCTCAATAAAATGGAATAATTCAAGGCTAAGCATAACCTGAAAGCTGCTCTTCCATGCATCATAGAGTAACCCACAGTAGGCCCCGTTTCTTCTCACCACTGTAACTCTATCACCACTTAATATTACCACACTCAGTATCAGTCCTTCAACACATGAAACCTTGAGATAAACCACATCCAAGCCATAACCATCTGTTACTACAGGGGCCAATGAGAGCTGCTTTTCCAAGGTTCCTGAGTGAATAGGGCTGGTGTCAGGACTACACCCTGTTGGATTGGAGCCGAGTCCACAAGAGGTAGTCTGCAGAGAGAACTTTAGGTGGCAGGCTTGCATCAAATATCTATACTTGGTTTGGTGCTTCAGTAGGGTTTCTCAACTTCCTGTATACACCCAAGTATGTCCGGAAGTGTCTGCCATATCTTTGGTCCTGTGAGGGAAAAGAGAGCTAGGTATCCCCTCTCTCACTAACTTACTGATGTAACTGTTCAAATATTGAATTTCTGATTGCTCTGAGGTGATACTGTGCTGGAGTTACAAAGTACTAAATAGGGGCTGCAAAGATAGTTCAGCAGTTGAGAGCACTTGCTGTTCTTTCAGAGGATCGGAGTTAAGTTTCCAGTACCCATGTGAGACTGCTCACAACTGCCTATAACTCCAGCTTCAGGAGGATCTGATGCCTCTTGCTTCCACAGAGATCTGCACTCACATGCACATACCCCCACACAGGAACATACACATACACCACACCTGATCTCCTTGCTCCACTTTTCTTCCTTCATATATACCATGCTAACATCTGCCTAGGCAGCATATCTTTACTTGAATATTTGACACTGTTGAAAATGCTAAAGGCATAATTAGAAAGCAGTTGTAGCTAGATATTCTTTGTACTTTGTCCTACTTTGTTTTTCTCTTGCTGTGATAAACACCATGACCAAAAGCAGCTTGGGGAGGAAAGGGTTTATTTCATTTTACACTTCGAGGTCATTATCCATCATTGAGGAAAGTCAGGGCAAGAACTCAGGGCAGGAGCGTGAAGCAGAAACTATGGAGGTATGCTGTTTATTGGCTTGCTCTCACTCTCACACTGGCTCATGCTCAGATAGCTCTTTTTACGCGGCCCAGACTCACCTGCCTAAGGATTGTACTACCCACAGTGGCTGGGCTCTCCCACATCAATCATCAAGCAATACAATCTCTCACAGACATGCATCCAGGCCCATCTGAGCTAGGAAATTCCTCCTTCTTTCCAGGTGACTCTAATTTGTGTGAAGTAAAAACTAACCAGTACATGCTTTGCATTTACTTTCCATGTATTTGTGATAATTCCTCCTAATAGGTCTTCTTTGGCAATGTGGATTCATCTGGGATTAAGCACAATATTTTTAATCCTCCAATTATTGCTCGGTACATCCGTTTGCATCCAACTCATTATAGCATCCGCAGTACTCTTCGCATGGAGTTGATAGGCTGTGATTTAAACAGTAAGTGTCAAGTCATCCCATATTCTTTTTTTCCCCAACCATGAGTAGAGTTATTCTGAGACTAAGAGGAGATATTTCTGTCTGTCTTAGGATATAGAACTGTAAGTGATAAAACCCGCACAGTCCTGAAAAAAGTAAACAAACAAACAAAAAAACAGGAATTTGTTACCCTAGTTATCCTAACTGTGAGATTCCCCAAAAGGAGCCATCTCCTGTGCATCTATCAATAAGGAAAACTGAATTCAAGCAGAACTAAGCAGAAGTGACCTGAAAATGGGCATTTTAATAATAATAGAAATTGTGTAAAAATTGCTACTTAAAAATTATCATGAAGACAGTATCTCTAGACTGGAGGCAGCCCAGTGAACCTAGACTGAAGTTTGTCCTTGTGACAACATTCTGCTTTCATTTCTTTAAGGTTGCAGTATACCATTAGGAATGGAGAGTAAAGTAATATCAGATGAACAAATTACTGCTTCATCCTATTTCACCAATATATTTGCCACTTGGTCTCCTTCACAAGCTCGACTTCACCTCCAGGGAAGGACTAATGCCTGGCGACCCAAGGTAAGAGCAATGCATTTACCACTTAACCTAATACAAAGCAGGGAGAGGGGATGGGAAAATGGGAAAATCCCATGTTCCTTCACAGATATTTCTGTTCACTGTTGTTCCTAAAAAGAGAGTCTAGGAAGGCTTGCAATGCCCCACAGGCATTTAGTGGATATACCATGTTATTTCACACAGCATTCACTGGGAGAGGAAATGCTCTTTAATTTCCTGGAAAAAGAATCTGTATCCAGTATTAGGCTAATATCTGTAGTCCAATCCAGGGCAGATGAGCTGACTCTGTAAGTAAAAGGTGCCTGCCACCATATCTGATGACCTGAGTTCAATCCTTAGAAACTACATGATGGAAGGAGAAAAGCAACTCCTGCAAGCTGTCGTCTGATCCCCACATGAGTTCAATAGCACCCACACCCCGCCGCCTTAGAGACAATAAATAAATGTAATACAAATTTAAAGTCCTATCCAGTAGCCTTCTGTCCCAGTTTCTCAATACTTCAAAGAAAAGGTTTATAACTATACATAGTTCACTGGGGATGGATATTTTCCAGAACCATCTATGTATGATTTTCATCTTTAATTATTTGGGGGAGTATGAATAAAGTTAATTCTTTCTGCTCTTCCAGGGGATTGTTATTTTGAGTGAAATAGTTCGGATACTACATTGCCAGAGTATATATTCTAGTAGGTATGGCTCCTATATTCATTCAGCATTTACTGGGACTGTATTAAATAGATGAACCTGTGGAAATAAAGAATTATGAAAAATTTTGGCAGACTTGGTATAATGGCACACACCTTTAATCCCAGCACTCAGAAGGCAGAAGCAGACTTATCTCTGTGACTTCAGGGCCAGCATGGTCTACATAGTGAGCTCCAGGCCAGCCAGGGCTACATAGTGAGACCTAGCTCAAATAATGGCCCTCAAGATTCCAACACTGTCTTCCCAAGGTAAATAATCCAAAAGAGTGGTTGCAAGTGGACCTCCGAAAGACAATGAAAATCACTGGAATAATAACCCAGGGAGTGAAATCTCTCCTTACCAGCATGTTTGTAAAAGAGTTCCTCATCTCCAGTAGTCAAGATGGCCATCACTGGACTCTCCTTTTTCACAATGGCAAAGTAAAGGTATGATATTCTCATCAGAAAGACACAGTGGGTATGGTGGCTCATGCCTGTAATCCTAGCACTCAGAAGACTGAAGCAGGAGGCTTGCCAAGAATTCAGGGCCAACTTGGGCTACAGTGTGAGACCCTGCCTCAAAAAAATGAAAACGGGCTGGAGAAATGGGTCAGTGGTTAAGAGTACTGGCTGCTTTTGCAGAGGACCCACATGGCAGCTAACAACCATCTCTAACTCCAGTTCCAGGGGATCTGATGCCCACTTGTGGCCTCTGAGGATATTGCATGACATGGGTGCACTTACATACATCCAGGCAATACACACATACACATAAAATAAAATTTTAAAAATGAAAACAGACATACTACCTTTGATCTTGATATTTAGAGAGAGCTGGATTGGACCACTCATTCAGAACAAAATTTACTGAGTACCTACAGTAACAGGACATTATGAAAGGCATTTTAAGAGGACACAGTGACTTCAAGCAAAGAAATAAAAATCCCAAGGAAAGGACAAAGCACAGCCAAAAGTTGCTAGAGTCATATAGAATGATGACAGGAATCAAGGCAAGAGCCAGTTGTGGTGTCACACAACTTTAATACCAGCACTCGAGAGGCAGAGGCAGGTGGATCTCTGTGAGTTTGAGGAAAGCCTGGTCTACATAGTGACTTCCAGGCCAGCTGGGGCTACAGAGAGACCCTGACTCAAAAAGACCAAAAAAAAAAAATCAAGGCTGAAAACAGACTTATTGGCCAAATACTTGTTTATTATTCTCCCACACCAGCCTTATTAACCTTTAATTTTAGTAGTCCAGATATTCTTCATTCTTGATCTGAATTTTCTAGATAATTCAACAAATTATACCCATTACAAGCATGACATAAAGTCTTAGTATGGCATGAATAATAAGAGAAAGAATATTTCATGTAATCTGAGATATTTTTAAATCTTTTTTTTAAAACCAAGAATTTAACCATGGCATGGTATTTCAGCTATTACTGTAGTACACCAAAGATAACCAACTTATAATGATGGATTGACAACAACAGCGTAAATGTCATACTAGAGGTAAATAAAAAAGGAATCTAAAATTCTCATATTGGGGCTAGACAGATGGCTCAGCAGTAAAGAGCACTGGTTACTCTCGCAGAGGACCTGGGTTCAATTCCCAGCACCCACATGTCGGCTAACAACCATCTGTAACTCCAGGTCAGGGGGAATCCAACACCCTCTTCTGACCTCCATGGCCATTGCACAATATGGACGCACACAGGAAATACACTCATACACGTGAAATAAAAATAATAAATAAAAATATTTTAAAATAATTAAATAATAAAATTCTCCTATTATCTATGAAATAAAATATTGGTTAACATTAAATCTTGATAATTTAATGCATGTTGCAATTTCTAGGATAACCAATAAGTAATAGAATATAAAATAGATTGTAGGATTCCCAAAATGACAAAAGAAAAATATGAAAGGATAAACTACACTCAGACAATCTAAATATTCCAGTTAAAAGTCAAAAGTCTATGAGCTGCACATGATCAGTCACACCTGTAATCTTTGCAATGGGAAGGCAAAGGCAAGACCATGAGTTTGAGTCCAGCCTGAGCTACACTGTGAATTCCGAGCAGGCTGGAGTTACAGAATGAGACCGTGCTTTAAACAAAGAAATGAAAAAACAAAGATTTTCAAATTTGCCATAAGCAAAATAAATTCTATCTATACTCTTTATAAGAGATATTTAAAATGTTAACATCAAAAGGTAGCATTAAAAAGTTGATTTCTAAAATCAAAAATTTTAGAAAGACATTATGCAAGTATTACCTAAAAGGTATCTATTGTAGTTGTTGATACTGAACAAAATAGCCTTCAACACAAGAAAGTATTATTAGAAGTTAAGAATGCAGGGCTGAAGATATGGCTCAGCAGTTAAGAATACTGGTTGTTCTTACAGAAGACCGGGGTTCAAATCCCAGCACCCACATGGCAGCTAACAACTCTCCATAACTCCAGTTCCAGGGCATCCGACAGCCTCTTCTGTCCTCTGTGGGCATTGCATGACATGGGTGCACTTACCTACATGCAGACAATACACGCAAACACAGAAAATAAAAAAATTAAAAAATAAATTTTTTAAAGAGTTAAAAAAAAAGTTAAGAATGCAACCTAAGGGACAGTGAGATGGCTCAGTGGCTGAAGGTGCTTGCCATGCAAGCCTGGTGACCTGAATTCAAAAGCCAGAAGCTTTGTAAAGGTGGATGGAGAAAACTCACTCCTCCAGGTTGTTCTCTGACCTCCACACAAGCATTATTGTGCATGTGTGTATGCACAGACATATAGACACAAACACATACACACAATAATAAAATTTTTTTAAAGAATGTAACCTCATAATAACAAGAATTCTCTGGGAAATGCAGCAATTTAAAAATTTGTATCACCTTTACAAATTCTGAAACTATTGAAAACAAAAACTGACAAAAATAAAAGGGAAAAAAAACAAACATAATTTCGACTGGCAGATTTTTTTTTACATCTCTCTCATCAATTTATGGAACAAACAGAAAAACTTAACAATACAAGTGACAAATTTGATCTTATGAACATATTTAGAAAATTGCAATTTGGAACTGTAGAATTAAATATTTGTAAGCACAAAGAAAATACTTATTTTTTCCTTTAATAAAATCCAGGGCTGGAGAAATGGTTCAGTGGTTAAAAGCACTTTGCTCTTGCAAAGGACCCCGGTTTGGTTGCCAGCACCCACATGGTAGCTAACAATCATCCATAACTCCAGTTCCAGGGAATCTGATGCATGCCCTCTTCTGACCTCCACAGGCACTGTATGCATGCTGTGTACTTACATGCACATAGGCAAAACACTCATACACATAAAATAAGAATAAAATGTTTTAAAATTCCAAATAAATTTAATAATTAAATGCAAAAATAACAAATTACTTAAAATAATTATAAATAAATTCAGGAAGATATACATAAAATTACTGTAGAAGTAAAGTTATCTATGGATATAGCAAAATAGAATACAAGAGACTAACCATAATAATTTTGAAAAATCATGTCTAGAAATAAATATAACAAATATAGAAAACTAATATGAAACAGTATTTCCAGAAATCCAATTAACCTAAAATGGTGACCTAAATGAACTTACTCTATTCTTTTTATAGTATACTTTTATTAATTCTTTGAAAATTTCTTACCATGTATTTTGATCATATTCGCCCCCATTCCTCCCCCTAACGTCTCCCAAATCCACCCTTATCTCCCTACCTCCCCCCAATTCAATGTCCTTTTTTAATAACCCACTGAGTCCAGTTTGTGCTGCTCACATACCCATGGGTGTGGGGTCATCCACTGGAGCATGGTTGACCTGCTAGGAGCCACACCCTTAAAGAAAACTAACTGTCCCTCAGAAGCCATCAACTGTCAACCTCACTTAGCGTTGGGGACCAATGAGCACCTCCCACCTCTATCATGGAATGTTAACTGGCTTGATCTTGTGCAGATCTTATGCAGACAACTATAAAGGCTTGTGCTGTGAGGTCATGAGTGCAGTGGTTCTATCGTGTCTAAAAGACACTGTATTGCTCTGGTTCTTCCTGACCTCTGGCTCTTACAATCTTTCTGCTCCCCTTCTTCCATGATGATCCTTGAGCCTTAGAGATGATCTAGATGCCCCATTTGGGACTGGGCACTTTTTGATCAGTTATGAGTTTCTGTGTTAAACACTGTCCAGTGAAAAAGAAACTTACCTGATGAGTATAATTTACTACACTAATCTTTTAGCATAGAGATGAAAATTTAGAGAGCAGTTTGACCCGATGTCCATTTAGCAAAATAACAGCAGTAGGTTCAGTCTTGGGGCCTGTGAGCTCCCCCAGTCAAGGGTTCTTGGCCAGATTACACCACCCAGCCTGTGTGTACTCCTGTAGAAGAAACTTTGAATCCAATCTGAAAATGCTTAGCTACCCCCATAATGTCTGTCACACTATTGTACTCATGGGCATATCTTTCCATGCCTATCATTATTGCAATTCACAGGGTTCACAGATGGGGAAGACTGTTGATGACCTTTTTCCTCAGCTAACAGTTTACATAGCACTTTCTGGTAGTATGAAAACTAGCCAGCAGGGAGGAAGCATATATATATATATATAGATATATATATAGATATATCTTATAAAATGGTAGGTTTTCATATGCCTTCTCAAGCATCCTTAGTGTGTGCCATCTTTTCCCTCAACCCCGTCCTCTGCTCTACCATCCTGTCTTACCCCTCTCCCCAGTTAAACTGTCTTCCTCCTTCTTATCACCTATGCTCTACTCTTGCCCCTTCCCCTAAGGTCTTTCTTTTCCCCCAACCAAGCAGTCTCAAATTTCAGAGAAATTTATAATTAAGGTAAGTTCATTATTTGGTAATTAAAGTAGATATGAATTATAAAATCCCCCTAGTTAGAAATTAAGATCTTTAGGGGCTGGAGAGATAGCTCAGCAGTTAAGAGCACTGACTACTCTTGCAGAAGACCTGGGTTCGATTCCCAGAACCCACATGGTGGCTAACAACTGTCTGCAACTCCAGTTCCAGGGAATCCGAAACACCCTCTTTTGACCACCAAGAACACTGCACAACACAGGTACACTTGCACTCATGCAGGCAATACACTCAAACATAGAAAGTAAAAATAGTAAATAAAACATTTTTTAAATCAAGAAGCTTTTAATAACATGTCAAAAAGAATAAATAAATTATAAAATACTTTAAATGCATGATAACAAAGCATTACATATCAAAATAGGAGGCAGAGCAAGATAGTGGCAGAGTAAGCTGCTCTAGCACTCATCTCCCCTCACGCACACCAAGTTGAATAATCACAACTCTTGATGTTCACAAGAGCTAAAAAAGCAGGTGAGAGACTATAGTGCCTGCTTTTAGTACAAAAATAATCCAAGATGTAGTGAAGAAAGCA